CCATTTGCGTTATGTTTGATATAGCAAGAAACAGCGTAGTCTTATTCTTTACAAAAGTGTTCCTTTAAAAACATCTAAACTGTATTACAGTAACAACATACACTGGGCAAGTGTTTGGGAAGGGAAACCCAAGATCAAAAACTATAACAAGCAACTTTAGGCTGGACGTGGTGGTTCAAGCCTGTCATCTCAGCTCTTCTGGAGGCCAAGGCGAGAGAACTGCTTGAGCCCAGGAGTTCAAGACCAGTCTGGGCAACAGAGCAAGACCTCATCTGTACAAAAAAAAAAAAATCAAATAAATTATCTGGGCATGGTGGCTAGCGCCCGCAATCTCAGTTACCAGAGAGGCTTTGGTAGAAGGATCACCTGAGCTCTGGAGGCTGAGGCTGCAGTGAGCCATAATCATGCCACCATACTCTAGCCTGGTAGACGGAGTGAGACTATGACTCCAAAAAAAAAAAAAAAAAGGAAAGAAACTTTAGCTCATCTCCTTTAGTTGATACATTTCTGAGGCAACTTAATTAGGGCACTGGAGCATTCATTTCTAAAATAACATATGCAGCAGAAAAAGAATCAAACTATTGATTGCCAACAGTTAATACATCTGCAAGTCAAGTCCACTTAATGCTAGAATATAGCTAAGTTTTATGTCATGCAATGTCAAAAATTCTCAGAAAATGCCCTTTCTAAATATAACTTTTAGTCAAATAACAGTCACAAGAAAATCTGACTCTTCAGTCTAAAAACAATGCAAAATCATCCAGAAAATGACAAATAATGGAAATGAAGCAAAACTATCATTCAAACTTATTAGAAGAGCATCACTAAAGCCATGCAAATCACAAGGTCCTACATGGTGCATTGAAAACACGAATACATGTTCTTGCACATGGTAACACTTATGAGGTATCAGAGTCAACAAAATAAAACTGACAAGTAAAAACACTCCTTGTAACCAGGGATATGATAGTATACTAATTCAGGAAGTTATTCAGCAGCTTATAAAGAAATAGGAAGTTGTTGACCAACTACTTGAAGAACTATTTCCTGTAGGAAAACTATAAGACAGCTGAAGAAGGCAATAATTCTCAGAGTCATAAAGAGAATGAATTCTTTTTCAGTAAAAGCTCAATGTACTGCTGAAGAAATTCGTTTTAAACAGTAAATTCACTAGCAGCACAGCCATCCCATGTGGTATACCTGGCAAAGCCTTTCTCTGGAACTTCACAACGTTCCCAGGCTTGAACGCGTGTCATCAAGAAACGCAGCTGGTACCATCCTGCCACCTGCCAAGATAAGACACAAGTCTTCTCCAGAAGACCTCAGGAACCTCAAGGGCTTTTTTTTTTTCCTGAATTGGAGTCTCCCTCTGGAGTCGCCCAGGCTGGAGTGCAGCGGCACACTCAGGGCCACTGCAGCCTTGACCTGCTGGGCTCAGGTGATCCTTCCGCCTCAGCCTTCCAAGTAGCTGGAACTATGGGCACACACCATACGCCCAGCTCATTTTTTGACTGATTGTAGAGACGAGGCTCACCAAGTTGCTCAGGCAATCCTCTCACCTCAGGCTCCCACAGTGCTGGGATTACAGGAGTGAGCCACCACACCTGACCTAGGAGGACTTTAAGAATACCAGCGACTGCCTGCTTATCCTAGCTCAGTAATTACACAGTCTTGATACTAGAGGCTGAGTCAACTGACTTCAAAAACTCATTCATGTATGGTCACGAGGCAACAACTCATTGTTTCCAAAGTCAACACTTCTAAGTTCTCTCCAGTTACATCACCTTACATGTTTCGACCAACTGCAGTCAGAGTTTTTCATGCCAAATACAAATCTAAGTGACATGCTTTGTAACTTCAAAGTTCCAGTAAATATCTAAAAAGATGCACCAAAATAGAATTTTTCACTGTGGAAACGAGTGGAATGTATGCAACTAGTTTAAATCTTCATTCTACACCTAGCGGGTAAGAAGAGACAGCCTGATTTTAAAACATCAAAATTGGGATAAAAATGAACTTTGATAGTGAAAACGTGGTACCAAGAGCTTTGTTCTCGCCATCTTTGACTCACAGTCAGGGCGTTCATCTCATTATCTGCTCGGTACGCAGAAGTCAAGTTGGATATGCCGAGGACACAGCTCCAAACGTCAGGGAGGCAGCTAACAACTGGGGAAAGTGAACCATCTTGTTTCACAAGGTTCCTCTCAACGGCATACCGGTCATCACGCAGGCACTCTCTAGGAGATGAAAGAGTGTGAGCCTCCAGCCCACCTCCCACAGCCAATGCTTCGGGGGCCTTCTGTCCAACCCCGGCAGGTACCAACAAACCGTGATTTCACCTGCTTTTACTGCCCAAGACTCACGTCTCTGGGAAAACCCTTCTCGTTCTGAAAAGCCTGGTATGAGAAAACGCTCCCATGGAGCGTTTGTTACCTGCGCTTCCACACGACAGTCCCTCGGAGACACCGAAAGAGTGACCATGGGCGACGGCTTCTCTTCCCAGCCTTTTCTTTTCCAGGTAAGCGTCATTTCATTGCTACACCCACTTCTCACACAGCATAATGCTGACTTTGGCCTGGCCAGCCTTCCTGACAGGCCCGCGGGTGACTGTGTGACCAAGGTGTATGGAGCGGACTGTGTGCACCCATCATTAATCCACCATTTAGGTGTCAATGCCTTGAAGGAAACACTTCTTCTCCAAGTAAGAACCATTGGAAAGCTGGGCTCGGTGGCTCAGCCTGTAATCCCGTGCCTTTGGGAGGCTGAGGTGAGCGGATTGCCTGAGCCCGCGGGTTTGAGACCCGCCTGGGCAACTTGGCAAGACCTCATCTCTACAATAAATCAAAAAATCAGCCGGGCGTGGTAGCGCATGCCTGTAATTCTGGCTACTTGGAAGGCTGAGGTGGAAGGATTGCCGGAGCCCAGGAGGTCGAGGCTGCGGTGGCTGGGAGCGGCCACTGCACTCCAATCTGGGCGACAGAGGGAGACTCCAACTCCCAAAAAAAAAAAAAGAACCATCGGAAACTTTTAAAAATAGACACCCGCTGATATGGGGGGGGGGGGATTCCTGCAGGTGCCCAAATCTGAGGCTGCTCAAGCCTCTTGTACAAAACAGCACAGTATTTGCATATAACCTCCACACATCCTCCCAGATTTTAAATCACCTTTTCTGCATTACTTTCAATACTCAATACAATGTATATGTGCTACCAGTCGTTACACTGTATTGTTTAGGGAATAAGGACAGGGAAAAAAGTCTGCACATGGCTCGGTACAGATGCAATTTTTCCCCCCGAATATTTTCACTCCACAGTTGGCTGAATCCACAGATGTGGAACCCAGGCATACGGAGGGCCAACTGTATCTCGAATATTAATTTCAACTCAAGAAAGATCACTCATTCAAAATAATGAAAATGCAGGCAGATGTCACCTACAAGCAATTATTACAAGATACAAAGACTAAAGAGAAGCAGACATGCCGCCACTTAACCTTATACTTTTAGCCGCCGCCTCAACCAAAGCCGCCTCAACCAAAGCGAGCAAGCAGGCTATTAAGCTGTTTAAAAATCTCCCCAGGTCAGCATGTGACCCAGCAGGGAGGGGTTCAAAAAAGTGCAGCCTTTCTTTTTCCTCCTAACAACCTGGTTGCTTCTACTCCTTCCCCTTCACGACACATCCCTCTCGGCCAGAAGCTCTTTCAATCATTGACTTTGGAAGTCGGCAGGAGAACAAACGGATCTCGCCCATGCAGATGAGTTTGCCAGACTTGTGTGCCTTTCCAGTCTCAGGCCCTTTATTGCTCCGGTTGAAACCTGACTCTTTGAAATGGATACCAGGACTCCAGAAACTGAATTTTAAAAAAGAAGAAAAAGTCGCAGGAAAGGGGGTAAAAGACTGTCCGAATATTTCAAGATCGAACCTTTTCCCTTTGCTCTTCTAAATAAGCCTGCCTCAAAACTTTCTCACATTACAGAGTAACAACCCACCCTGAAAGACAATCAGGACTAAACGCAGATTAAGACTCATATGACAAAACAACATCATTTAGCTGTATTATCTGATCTAATAACTAAATGCTGCATTTGCCATAAGAGTAGATAGTCTAGACAGATCGGGATCAGAACTCGGGCTGTTTTTCACTTTATTATCTCAATCTGATTGAACACTGTAAGTGAGCATTTCTTAAGATATCAATTTCCGTCTAGAATAATCAGTTTTAGACAACATTTTGCGTACGCTTGGTCTAAACAAGCCAGGTAAAATTAAAGTCTTATCTATAATTTCAAAATTAGAGGAGATAAAATTCCATTTAGGTCTTTTCAGCTTAATGCAATTTTGCCATTTTGCTGAAGACAAAAAAAGCTGATGAAAAACAAACTACCCAATGGCTTCGTTTTCATTTTCCCAGAGAAAAGGGATTCTGTGCGGAAGACCTACTAGCTTGAAGGAAGTTTGCAACGGAGCGACTGCATCTCAAAAACCTAAAACCGTAGCATTTTCTTTGCCTTTTGAAGAAAAAACCTGATAAATCACATCAAACTGCAGTTAAAGCACTTGAGGACACCCCAAAAGTGCTGCTTATTTACTCGTTCTTCTCTACCAGCATTTTAAAAGATAGCCGCATCACACACGTTTCCTAAGGTCGATGCTGCTCCTGTAATGCTCCGCGTCTGAATATTTTCACGGTAGCCTTTCTGTTTTATGCCAGGCTAATTAGCAGGTTCGGCACCAACTCAAAATGAGAATATCCAAACTGGCACAAAAGAAGATTGTCAAAAGGCTCTGAACCAAGAATCAGGCTTTCAAAATATTATCCACGCTAAAAAAGTTATCTAGGTCAGACCCAACTGGAAAAAAAGTTGGGGAAAATATATCCGAGCGTAACATAAATATTAAGTAAGACATAAAAGCCAGCGCCATTCCACATCTTGACGTCACTGTGCTGTTTCCCAAGCCCCATTCTTCTTAGAAACCGCCTCTCCCATTATTTTCACTTACTTTAAGAAGTATCTCTGACCAGAAGATGTCTTTGCCATCTCCCAGCCGGCTGGCAGAGGAACGTCGTCAGGTATCTCGAAGGAAGACTGTCGCAGATGCTGAGCGGTGGGCGTAGCTGCCGGGCCAGAGACGACGCCGGTGGGGGTCAGCGTCCCGGGGGAAACAGCGCCCAGCTGCAGGGAAGCCGGCGAGGAATGAGCGCGAACGTGCTGTGGTGTCAGGGCTCCCGCCGTCCCCGCGTCGGTGCTGGCCTGTTAGGAACAGGAACAAAGTTTGTTTTTCGTTTTTCGTTTTTCCAAAAAATACCTTTGTAGGGACAACTCCTTTAAAGTTCCCATATAAAATTTCATCGCAACCAAATAGCTAAGTACCAGAGGCAAATTTCAACATTTACTATCAGACACTGAAGAACACAAGTTTTCAAATGGATACTTTTAATGTCATGTGATTTTAATATGCCCTTGTATAAACATGTTTGGATGAGTAGTCCATTAAATGACTTCTCACCTACTAGACACTAGAGATGCCTTCCACATCTTTGAAAGGCAATTAGCACAGAACAAAAAAATCTTCCTAAAATAATAAATATTGAATTTTAAAACCTAATTTCTAAAAGCTCAGAGCTGTATAAGTACTTCTCCGGGCTCTAAAATGCTCCAGGTATAAACACAACCCACAAGAATAACTACGCATTTTTACTCGTTTTTAAGTAATTCGTGGTTTTTTTTCTAGGCCAAGCCCTACAAAAAACAAGCCCTTGTCATTTTTCTCACTGTGAACAAATGCCATCGATAAAGCATCATCGTTAAGTTATACAACTTTTAACGAAAGCAAAACATTAGAACTGCCCAAGTGTTCTTAAAAGCCACCCAATGAACCAAATAAACACCAACCATATCTTTGTATCTAGAAGATAAAGGTGTTATCGGTTCAATTAGGATACAACTTAAGAACTCACTCACATGTTTACAACTGTGTAGCAGAAAAAATTCTGCACTCAGACCCCAAAGGTCTGAGTTCCAGTCTAAGCAAGCTAGTGCGATGCTGAAAAATTATCTTAACTTCCACATGCCTCCGTTTTCTCATTGGTAAAACAGCATTTTTCATCATGGAAAAATGGATATATAAAAAAGTGCAGTTTCTGGACAATCGTATTTACAACCCAGATCCATACCATTCATAATCTAGGTTTAAAAAAACTTATTGATGAAAATTAGGGCTTGACCACCAAAAAGTTGCACAGGAGCCTGGAAAGAGCCAGCAGCGGCCCTAGGCCTTCGGTCACGTACATTCCCGAGTCTCCACCTCCAGAGTAAGCGTGATTTAGGAAATCATCAGCAGATTCGCAAGTTCAACTTGCAGAGGCACGACACGCAGCTAGCAAATGTATCAAAGACCATTCGAACGATCGATTAGGGATAGCACGGCTTCACCAACCGCTGGGTACCGATTCTTGCGTAAAAATTACGTCCTACAAGAGCCAGTTCGCTCGGCGGTGGGGAATCTTTTGGACAGAGGCCACAAGACCGAGAAGTCGATCTCCCCGGTGTCTGGCTCGTCCACACCCGGGTCGGCGACCACGCACGGCCGTGCAGTCCGGAGAGCAGGCCGCGCGCGTGCACCCTCGACGTGCCCCCTCCCGAGGCCGGGAGCAACGGGCACACACGCCCAGGGCGCCCTTCCGGCCCGCGGTGTCCAGGCAAGCAGCCACACGGGTTCCCTCCTTCTCCCGAACCCGAGTTTTTGGCACCAAGTCACGCGAGCCTTTCTTCCCGAGTTCCAAAGCCCTGGGTCTGCGACGGGAGAACACACAACAGGCCCGCGGGGCGGGGGGAGAAGCGGGGGC